AAGAAAGACCCCGCTCAATACAGGAAAGAGCAATAACAGTTACTGGACATAAAATGTTCTAAAATAAAGATCTTATAAATTTCAACTAAATGTAGAGTCAATACTGAATGTTTAATTATAGGAAAATGGCTAAATAATCATTACTATTAGATATAATGAGAACAGATACTACACTTTGATCCCAGTCCAATAGCCAGGGAGTGAAGTAGCACTGGCTGCTCAGACATGATCATGAGTCCCGGAACTTATTAAACTCAGAGGGCCACCACATTTACTGCAACTGAAGTAGAGGTGGCATGTCTTGGGCAAGATAGCCAGACGAAACCCAACCCTCTCCATGCTGCTCTCAGTTTTCCTTCTTCTAGGCCAGTTGCTATCCAAGGCTATAGAACCCAGTCTGTCCTGCTATTTACCCATAATTGGTGAGGAGAAGAGATGGATTCATACCTTTCCCAAAGGTATTAGCACATAAATGAATGTAATAAACTCAATAGGAATTTGAACTCAGCTCTCTTATTCCTCAACCTCGAGCCACAATCCATTACTCCACTGTGCCTCCATTGCTTGGATAATGCATGCCAAATATTTCTTTGTATGGAGACAGCTAATATTACTATTACTGTTCAGGTTGGGTAAACCAGTCCTTCAGATGGCCTCTTATTGAGGATGTTCCCAATTAACTAGATACGATTCCCAAGCTGACTTGTCTTCCTCGTCCTTCAAATTTAAAAAAAAAAAAGCAACCCTCTTGACATTGGGCTATGGAAACAGAACCAGCAATAATTGAGCAGTACTAAATGAAATATGGCTAGACATGGATAGTGGATCAAGAATAATCTACCCCCGTAGATTAGATGAATGTTCCAGTTCAAAATCTCCTAAAGGTTACTGGGATCAACAGACACCTGAAGATGGCCAAAAAGTAAAACATCTGAAACATTGGGATTATAAGAACAAAGATGAGGACATTATTTCAAGTGTATTGTATTTGTGTCCCTTTGATAAAAAAGCAAGTTCCACTCAAACAGCTTCTTCCTCAGAACTGCTACTTTGTGGAACAAACTCCTGTGAGAATGACAACTACAGACTTGGTCTCTTTAAGTCCAGATTCATCTGATATCTACTCTATGTTCTCATAATATTTTTCCTTTCCCTTTTCCCTTCCCTTACAATCTCCTTCAGTAACACTCTATCTTGAGTGGCCTTGGACCTTGTATTGGGTGAAGAGTAAAAATAAATAACTCCTCAATGCAAAAATTTAGGCAGAAAACCATGTACATGTTAATACTTGTGAAAACGAGGAGACAAATGTGGAAAATTTATTAACGTTGCATTTTGGTAAAGTGTGTATGCTCTCTTTGCTTCCTCAGGTTAGAATGAAAGAAAGACAAAACTGTGTGTGAGGAAAATGCCTTGGGATCTTTGAGGATCAAATTTAATTACCATAGCTTATCACCTCCCAATGTCCAGACTTGAGAGAGTGTCTGTCCACTTGTTTGTTTGATCTATATCTATTGAGGAATCGGAGAGCTGAGTTCACTATATTCACTTACAAGCTAATATCCTTGGGAAAGGTATGGCTCCATCTCTTCTCCCCACTGCTATGAGTAAATAGAAGGACAAACTGGGTTCTACAATCTTGGGTAACAACTGGCCTAGGAGAAGGAAAACTCTGAATTCAAAACACCATGTAGTTCTGGCAAAACACATACAAGTAAGGAAAGGATCATTGATATTGACTTGATGATTGCGACTATGGTCAATTCCTTTAATATTAGAGCTGTTTGGTATTGTTGGATATTAAATCAGGGATTTTTTTCAAATACATGTATATATACTTGCACACATGTTGTAACCTATGGAAGGATAATGAATCACAAAAGTTGGCAATGAATGATAATACTTAGGACACAGACAACACATATAAGATTCACCAGTGGTGCATAGAAGACGCAGTCAACTGCTAGAAGTGAGTCAAGTGAATTCAACAATAAATCTCCAACTGCAGGCTATCTACCAACCGCCCCACGTGGTCAGATGTGGCACAAGGCTGAATTTAATGTGAGGTATCCGAGCTTGTAGACTTGGCTAAAAATTCCCGGTAGACCCTGTATAAATTGGAGTCAGGTAGCTGTTTCTCGAGACAAAGTTGTGCCCTTTGAAATAGCCTTGTCTGGGGATCCTCTCTGCTCAGAGGCAGAGAGTTTGAGCAGCACAGCTGGAGACATATCTCCAACTGCAGACTAACATACAGTATTTACTACTGTATTTATGTAAATGGGGACATATCCATTATTGTCCGTAGGTATGCTACAACAGTACATATACACACACACACTGTCCGTAGGTATGCTACAACAGTACATATACACACACACGCACACAGACATATTCATATATTAGAGCCTTTTTTATGTATACTCATACAGATATATACATACACCTATTTCTTATATGTATATACCTGTGCCCCCCTCATATATACACACATACACTCATGTTAATACTTCCAATCAATTAAAAACAGAAGCCATGAAAGCCATTCCTGGTATAGCATCAGGACATTTTATCAATATCATTATTACTGTTGTTGTTGTTTGTATTTTTTACAAACAACGACAGTTTGAGAGTTTTCAAACTTGAAAATTTTAAAATTGCAGCAAAAGGAAAAGAGGAACAGGTACACAGAAGTGAAATATCTTAAGGATTTCTTGGTAAATCCTCAGTACTAAAAGTTCAATGAAGCAACAGGTGACCTTTCGGCTTTTCTCAATTGATTGGATAGCTGGTGATAGGCTGAAATGGTGTGAAGGACAAAAATCAAGGCGTGTTGTGGCTGAAATGGACAAAATGAATACAGAAGATCAATGTTAAAGAAAAATCCAACAGCAGGGGAGTTTTCTTATGCAGAAGTCTCATGCAATATAGTAGAATACTACACAAGTTGGTAACAAAATTCAGTATAAAAACCAATAATTCTTGCTATATTTTAAATACTGTAATTTAGAAATAAAATTTTATATAAAATTTGGATGTCTGCTTTAAAATAATGATTTAATCAGTTCTATGTTAATCAATGACTATACAATAAAAAAAATTAATTTTGTTTTACATTTGTTTTTTCACAGTAATGATGTTTGATTAATCATACTGTGTTAATTAAAAGAAAATTAATATGTCTCAGATATTAATAAACTTGTTTAAATTATCAATATTCATTTATCCATAAAACAGCTAAAGGCTTGGTTTGGTACAATTAGTAAGGTTCATATTACAAATCTTTCGCAAAAACTGTTCACCAGGTTTTATATTGTGATGGATATCGCTCAGCAAATGGTAGCAAGCAGTAAAATATTTATTTCACTAACAAAGTATAAACATGTTTAAATAATCAAGCTGTTAATTTTTTTTCTCTCCATTATTTATATCATAACTAAAAAACATAAATGAAAAATATGACAATTATTAATATTAATTTTAGATTTTTTCATATTTTTATAAGAAGTCATTCATTCATGAAGTAAAATATATTTGGAGATTTAAAACCCTTTATCACATTTTACTATGTATATAAATAAAGTTTAAATATTTTGTTTTAATAAAGTTGAGATGATTTCATCCATCCTTAACATGAGACAAGATCACACTATTGTTAAAAAAGCATTTACCTGAAGTGAAATGGAAATTATTAGAGATTATTGCAATTTTTATAATTAATAATAATCACTTCATTCATTATATGAATATTGCTGAAGAGGTGTGGACGGAAAATAAAACATTTGTCTTAAATGTTAACATGTCTAATTAAGCAATTCTCTGGATTTTCTGTTGAAAATAGATATTTCAAATATTTTTCTCTCCTATTCTCTTCTCATACCTGCTCATGGATTTGCTTCTTAGTAGTATTTAACTAGTCGTAGGTATACTTTCCCCTTAGAGATTGGAGAAATTGGTAGAAGAGAGAAAGAAAGAAGGAAAAAACGAATGAAAATTCAGCCTTATAACACGAAAAATGATCAAGAAAAAGCAGCGTGGTCCTTTTTTTTATGGAGTTACTGTTCCTGCTGACACTAAAAGTAGGTCAGTCTATGCTGCGTCTACTAATGCTGTTGGTTTCTCGTGTTTATCGAATAGTATCTTTTTTTTTAGTCCTAAATTTTGGTAAATCTATAATTTAAAAATATAAATAATTATACACTTTTTCACTATTTAAGGATGGAAATTATGAAAAAGTATGAGCGGCCGAAAAACACCGAGTTTAATAAAAGTAGCTTGAGGGTACAATGGCGTCGTCATCAGCAGCAGTAGCAGTTAGACGATGCAAATATTAAATAAAAAGTCTTTGGATTAAAAGCTTGATTTCTAAGTAGGGCTACCTTTTCACTGCGATAGGACTGGGGATATGCAAGCAGAAATAAGTGTAAATAAAATGTATTTAATATTATTGTAAACTGCGAAACGAAGTCGACGAAATCTTAATCAGAAAATGTAAGTGTGAGGAATTGTGAGGCCGGAACGTCCGCCATTTTGGATTCTGATGTCAATCTTTTAGAGTCAGTCAGTCTGATGGGAGCAGGTTTCATTATGTCTTTTGTGTGGATCTCGCTCGATTCTGTGCACTCATGGTCAGCTAAATGCCCGCAAGGTTGACCCATGGACCGTTACATCGGGAATATTACGCCTTCCGCCGTAAGTGGAACTTATAGAGTTGATCGAACTTCGCCACTTCTCGTCGGATTTACTCGTTGAAGGTAGTCGCCTTCGCCAGTGTGTGTGTGAGTGTGTGAGTGAGTGTAAATGTAAGTAAAAGCAGTCAGAGGCTGACTGACCTATGTGTGGAATCCCCGAAATACAGAGAGGATTTTCCCCCATTCCTGCATACCCTCTCTACTGATTACTGTCCGGAACGTGGAAACAATCGATCGCTCGCGAATCGTCACAAAAAAAATAACGCTCAAATTATTTGATCTGTGCACAACAGAAATAATATTTATTCCAAGATGGCAAACCTTTTGAACAAAGACCCGTTCGCATATCACCAGGAATATACGGAGTTTATACGGGAACTACGCGAATATCACACAAATAGAGGGTAAGATGGATTAAATATATATTTTTTCTAGCTTTTAGCTGTGTATTTTTTTTTTACTTGGTTTGTTATTCTGTTTAGTTTTTTTTTTTTTTTTGGTATTACTATTTTTGTTGAGAATTGATTTGCAACCTTGTGATTATTATTATTGCATTACTACTGTACTAAACTGTGTTCATTTTGGCAGGACTCCGTTCATTAAAATACCGCAGATCGCAGGAAGGGATGTTGATTTGTACCTGCTTTACCGTCGGGTGATCGCTTTGGGAGGTTGGCAAAAGGTAGGAAAAATATCGACTGGTAACTGTCCAATGTTTGAATTTACCTCCGCTGCTTACATGCACACTGCTTTTCTTTCCACCACCATATGAATTTTTAGCAAACTCCCAATCAACATTTCCTTTTTTTGTGCGACGATAATAATAATCTTGATACAGATGCTGCGAAATCAATTTTTGTTTCTATTTTTAGCAGGCCCTTGATTTTAAAAAATGGATTTTGCATGTGTGTTTCAAGTGAATTATTTGTATAGATCTCTATCGATGTTGAAAGCGGGGCCATCATGATGATGGTTGGTATGGACGCTCTGTGGTTTAGTTTGTCTGTCTGTCTGCTATTGTTTACGCTACTATGAAGAACACGTGTAGTCAGTCGTCTTTGCTTGCCCTCGTCACTGGCGCCTGACCCCCGGCTTGCCGCTGCATTAATTTTTTTACATATCTTTTCCTGCAAAAGCCGGTCAACATAAAATACCAAATGTCGTCTGCGGCGTCTTTGTGCTCAAGTCTACAATCATGGCTACCTACCTTTCCTCCTTCTTCCTCTTTATAAATTCACTATTGCCACCACGGCGGCCTTTTCCGATTATTTTTAATTCTACATCTATCCTTTACCGTAATATTTACGAAATGTCTACTCCCCACCCGCGAGTAAAACTGTTCTCTTGGTTCAGTTTGAATTGGCCGGCGAACATTTTGGTTTGTGATTGCCTTTTTGAATCAGCCTCTTCCCGTATTGTTCTTTTTACTGGTCCAAATCGGGGGATCAGTTTGTTACTTAAAAACGACGAAAAGAGACCCCCCACTTTTGGACCAGTCAAGGTGATTCGAAACACCCCTCTACGATTCATTTCAGTATATATCGTTGTCTGATTACTAACAACTGATTTAATTGTTATTTCTCTATAAAAACATTGCTCGTGTGTTTATGTGTGCCGAAGAGTTGGCGTCAAAATGAATACTAAAAACGATCGAGTTTATTAAAGAGATTCGAGGCGTGAAAAAGTGAAGGAAAGGCAAATTCGGTGTGAGAAAATTCAATCGAATAGTTTCTTTATTTGTGATCGTATTGTTTTCTTAATTATTTTTACTTGGTTGGCTTTGTTGAGTTAATGCTTATGTTGGCTTTATCTATCAATAAAAGTAACAGTTGGACACACAAAGTAGATTTTAAAATTCCATAGTCATGTCTGCATCGTATAGTAATGGTGGTAGAAGCGGTAGTACTACTAGTAGTAGCAATGCTTCAGAAATATTAAGGGCAGCATTTCATAGACTTTCATTTATATATAGACAATCTTTTTTTCATTGTGTATCCTTTATTTATTGCATTTGGAGCCAACTTTTTCACCTGTTACGGTTCGTCGTTTTCTATAAAGGCTTACGTCTGTTCAAATGATCAAAAAACAACAACAAATAGTTTTTATAATAGTTTTTTGCTTTCAAGAATCGGTGTTATGGCTTTTTAGCTAAATTCATATTTTATAATAATTTCAACAACAAAAAAAACCCAATGTGCTGATGTTTTATTTTTAAATACTTTTTTCAGGTTGATAGATTTTTTTAAAATCCACCTTTTTTATTTTATTTATTATTTTTGTTTCTGTTCGAAAAAAAATGTTTCCAATCTCAAAGAAAACTGTACTTTTCTTTTCTTGCGTATCTATGGATTTTTTTTCTTTCCTGATTGAAGTTCATTATATTTGGCTTAAAAAATAAAACATTCCGTCATGGAAAAATAAAGATTTAGATTTTAGAATTTGATTGTTGTAAATTTCCTGTTCGTATTTAATTAAAAAAAAGAATTGCTTAGCTTTTTTTCTTTTTTTTTTTTTCTTTTTTTTCAATATTTTTGTTGAATTGAACTCATTTTGTAAAAAGTCTTCTTAAATAGCTATTTAAAAGGTTTATGTGTTGACATTATCACTCGTGAATTGATACCTTTTTTTTTCTTTTTTTTTAACTCTCATTTTTTTTTTTTTTTTTTTTTTAACCAAATCACGACGTTTATTTGTTACTGTAGTGTTTATCTTGCCACCTGGGGTGATTGATTGAAACAGCATTTTACTTGTTTCTAAATTACTCGATCGTCTTTACGGATGTCTCTGCGTATTTTGTTGTATAATAACGCTTTCAGAAGTAATAATACTACTACATCTGTTGGTTGGCTAATGTACTCGATTGTTCATCATCCCATGTTTACTCACGTAGATATTGAAAGGAAGGCGGAGGAAGAGGAGGAAGAGTGGGAGAAGACGTTTTAAACGAACAGACAAGAAGAATAAGAAAAAAAAGCCTTTGCAAATTTCGTCTTTCTTCAACATTAAATTTCTACTTGCACCTCATCATTTTTGATGGCTGCATAATTTCTTTCTTTTTCTTCTCCTTCTTCAATTGCAACGATATATATATATGCTTTTTGGGTGTAGTAGTAGATAATAAACAAACGTAGACAATGGAGGGCGCTGACGAGTGTGGCCGGCCAATTGCTCACCTCTTTCTCTCTCTCTGTGTGTGTTTGTCTTCTTACAAAGACATTTTCTATTGTCAAGTGTTGTGTGAAATTAACAGTTTTATTACGACAATAATACGTTTTTACAGCCATAGTCTGTCTTTTGGATAGTATTTGCTATTTTGATAATTTAATCATGCTGTATTATCAATAATACACTTTTTCTTTCTATGATCGTATTCGAATAAAGGTGCATGTTCAATATGACACACGGTAAAAAAATATAATCATTTACAAAAATGAAAATATAGAAATGAGGAACTAAAACCCTTTTTTTTCTCAATCCGTATTGAATGAATCTTTTTCAATTCATTATTTTTTACCTTAATGAAGAAAATCTACAAAAAACTAATTGTTCACGCCAAACAAAGTGCTTCTTTTTTTTAATGAACGTAAATAATAAACTTTTTTTGTTATTGAATGGTTTTTAATTCAAACAAAACCTTATTTGACGGATAAGTTTTTTGTTTATCATTTTATTTTGGAATTAAGAAAATCTATCGTATTAAAAATAATTTCAAAATTCTCTTAATTCGTGTACTTAATTACAAATAGTCAATTTGATTCATTGGTCTACTTGTACTTTTTGCAAAGTGTTTTTTATCTTGCATCATAAATGTACTTTTATTTCTTGTTGACGAGGGACAATTTATGTGGGAGTTGAACAATTTAATTTATTTATGAATCAAAAATGATGATTGAATCAAACTTCTTGTCATTATCCCCGAGAAATATAATTATATTTTGTAAAAATGTTTCCTCCAAATAATTTTTATATAATTTGTAATATTCATGAAGTCATTTTGGGTAACTAATTTGACTTTGTAAAAGATTTTAAGTGTATTTTTTAGTGTGTTATTAATTTATTCACCACAAAAATAAAATATTGTTTTTACAGAATTATCAATCTGTATTTGTATTTAAATTTGACATTTTCTTTCATCAAATTTTTAAACAGATTCTGTGACACTTGAATGAATTTTAATTCTCAAGGTATTTTTGTTAAACATCACTGTGTCTGTAGCGTAAAGTTTTCGTTTGTATTTAGCAGTGAACCAAAACAAAATAATTCTAATCTAATTCACTAGATTTATTTTGTTGTCTCAGATTTTTGTATGGCCTAAAACTTTACTTTGGTCTTCACTACAAATGTATTACTCGTTGCAAATTATTATCCTAAAACCTAAAACCTTCAAGTCGAATCTAATTTCAATACAACATTCTTGTTTTTCTTTAGCATTCATTACACAATGTTAATAAATTTCAATTTCATTCAACGCAAGGAATAGAAATAATTCTCCAAATTTAATTGTACAAAAAGCAATATAATTTATAAACAGTTTTGGAAAGATTTCATTGAAAAAAAAATTGAATTTCTATTCAATATCTATTTAACTAACAGGCGGTAACTATTAAAATAGTTTAATTTAAAAAATTCAAAGTGTATTTTTAGAGTTAGAATCGTCTTTTTTTTTATCTTTTGACATGATTTTTTACTTCGTCAAGCAAATTCTAAGTACTCTTCTTGTGATATTTCTCTTCTTTTTCTTTTTTAATCCAAATTGTTTGATAAGCAAAACATGAAGAAGTCATTTTATTTTTGGCATTTTCTTAAATTTTTATATGTGTCTCTTTTTAATTTGTATTATTGTCTCAAACTGGAAAAACTAAAAATTCTGAACTAGTGCGATTTAAAATAAATTTACGACTCGACAACAAAAGTGTTTGTTTGGATGGAATCATATTATTCAAAATAAAATTTATTAATTATGGATTATTATTTCCCTCTGTTTTAGCTTCAGAGTTTTTCAGTTTTCTTATAAAAAAAAAAAAGAGAGGATTTTTCAAAATTAAGTATTTTTTATGTTTTACCCCGTAGTTTGGAATAAGAAACATCGTCTCGTAAGGCTCTAATTCTGCGAATTTGGTCTTGTGGTGCCAAAGTGTATATATTTTTTTTCTCTCTCTAACAAATAATGAAATAATTTAAATTAGCATCTTCAGTGTTTCCTTTATTCATTACAGATACACCACTGTACTCTTTTTGTACTAACAATCTGTAACTTCATGAAGCGTTGACATTTATTGTTGATTTGATATTTTTTTTATATCATTCAAAAAGAAAAAAAAAAAACAAATGTTTCCGTTTTTACCTATTTTTCTTATTTTCAAAGTTGTCAGTAAAACCATAGGTATTATTTTGTTTGTCTAATGAATTAATTTTGATGAAACAACTTCCTAAAATCCGGCATACTTTGAGTAATCAATCTCTACATGACATCGTCTCATCCCTACCCCGCCTTTAAATAGTAATAAAAGAAAAAAAAAATTAAAACGTGTACACTCAAGTTTTTATTGTTTTGGTTTTCTTTTGAAACTTTTACAACATAGCTAGCATTAATTTAAAATCTTTGCCAAAAAAACTCATGTAGTCGTTTAACTACATTTTTAAAATACATTTATTTTACAATCTTTTGTTGCTATTACAAAAAAAAAATGTTTTTTTAGTCCTGATCATGACAATTCCTTCGTTTGTTTTAAAAACAATTTTCGTTTTGGATTTTTCTGTTCAGCTTTGAAAAATACCAATTAAATGGAATCCCGAAATTGTTTTAAGGTGTCCTTCTTTTAGTAGATTAATGCATTTTGTGAATAAGTCAAAACGAAAAAAAAAACATTTTTTTTTCTTCTTGTAGCTTTGTCTTTTGAGTGCTTTAAATTTTGAAAAAATCATTAACATTTGTTGACGACCTGTTTAAGTTCAGGTATTGATTATTAATTTTCCTGAAACCTAAAAATGAAGATCTTTTTTAAAGATTTAAAAAATAAATGTACCCCTTTTTAAAAACTAACAAAACAAATTTTGAAAGTCATTTTGTGGGATATTTTAAAAATATTACAATTCTTAAAAACTTTATAACTTTGAAATACATTTATTCTATTTATTTACACAAGTAATTATTTTATTTTTTACTGAACTGCTTCTATTTTTATTGTGCCAATTAGTTTTAAATAATTTGTGGATGAATTTTGTCTTAAATTCAGTCAGCTTTCTAACTGAAGTTATATGTTGAGATTTCATATGAAAAATGAAATTTATTGAAATGGCCTTTTCTTATAATAATGTTCAGTTGAAAAAACTCCTGCAAGACTAATTCAAACACTAAAAAATGATTTTTAATTACTTTAAGATAATAAAAATTTTAATATATATAGACATTTGTTCTTTATCAAGCTTTTCTACTTTTTAAAACGTTTTGGTACATACAAGAAAATTGAAGACAATTCTAAAGAGTTTTTATGAATTATAGTAATCAAAAATCATATTTACTGTATTTCTCAGAATGTTCCAAATGAAAATCATTGTAATTCAAATTGGAAATCTTAAAACGGCTGATAGTTCATTTGGCTGATACAAAATTTAAAATTGGAAATGGGCTTAAATTTAAACAAAAACATTACCAGTTGGTTAATTCTTTCTTTGATTGAAAACAATTACTTGGTTAATTTTTAAAAAAAATTCTCTATATTTCTTTAACCTGTAAAATTCATAAGCTTTAAATATGGGAAAGATTTACGATTAGAAAAATAAAAAATTTAGAATAGAAAAGTTTATAGAATTAAACATCTTGTTTTGAAGTGAAACCTAATGCTTCATTAATTATTTGCGAAAATCCATTGAAATCTGATAAAGTGAAACCTTCCAATTGGTTGATTTAGATTTTTCATTATAATGACATAGAAAACAGGTTGCAGCTGATGCAACTAATTACTTATCAAGGTGTGGATTTTAGTTCAAAAGCCTTATAGGATTCAAGAAGACTAATGGTCACTCTTCATAGTTGATATCTGTGTAAGTCTTTCCTCAATTTTAATCAGTTTGGTTTATGAGTTTAATAGTTTGATAGATTATTTATATTTCACTTAGTTTGATGTCTAGTATAAATTTTAAATATCTTTTTATATAAGTAACAAAATTATTGCAAAAAAATGTATTGGACCATTGGCATATTTGCTGTCTGATTTGTTGAAGTTCAACAAATGGAAAGATTTCTCCTGCTTTAATCTTGTCAGAAGCAACAAGTACAGCTTTAGGGTTATGAATCTTTTGAAAATTTAGTTGTATATATTGACATTAATTTTGAAAAGTACTTTAACTTTTTTCTTTTTAGGACAATTAACTGTTTACTGAAAGAATATTGTTTGATTCAATATTACATTGTTCAGTGAGATTAGATATAACCATTTTATTGAGTTGTACCAAAAATATTTTCCTAATCCATCAAGCCATTTCTAAGTAAACAGTCTTGATGGACTAGAAAAATATTTTTGGTACACAACTCAAATGTTTGAACAGAAAACACCTTACATTGACAAGTCAAATAATTTCATGCTTTCTCATATTAGAAAAAAATGTCCATTAAGTAATATAATATTTGATTCTATCTGTTTGTCTATATACTGTTTTTAGCATTGAAAAATGTTAACTTGTCTTTTTGTCAAGATAGTCTTAATGCACATTTTGAAATATTTATGGTCAAATTTGTGTGTGTGTGTGATATATATATATTAAAAGTTACTCCAAAATTCGCTTGAGGATGAAATGGAACTAATGTCTTTAATTTAATTACAAAATTAAATTCGGGGCTTTTAGCTTCCATTTTTGAAACATGGTTAGAACTGTGTAGCAGAAAAAAACATTTTAAATCAATTAATTTATAATATTAATGCTCTGTAAATTTACATTGAGCACTATTTTGTAAAAATAAAAATATCTTTAAGAACACCAGATTATATATCTTACTGTTCTTTCTTTATATATATATATATATATATATATATTTATATATGCATTGTATACAAATTCAGGGGGTGCTGAAAATTTTTTGGCACAATCAAGAAATCTTGGATTCTAAAGACATTTGTGATAAATTGATAAAAGGAAGATTTTATTATGAATCTATAATTTATTGGCAAATTTCTTAAAAGTTGTCTTTAAATTCATAGCATGAATTTCATTTTTGATGTAAGTCTTTCATTGTAAAGAATTTTGTGTCATAAGGTGGAGCTGGAAATTAATTCCAACTTAGGAAGAATATATTGAAGAACAAGAAGCAGTTATAATTTATATTATGTTGATATTTGTAGAACAAATTTTAGATTTTAATCTATTTAATGCTAGTTGCATTTTTATAGTATTTGATTTTGCCATTTTAAAATAGTTTCTCAATAAGAAAGTGGCTTTTTGATATTTTTTTTTTTTTTTTTTGATTAATATGGCCTTCCTCCTAAAATTTACTATAAAGAGTATGTACTCAATGCATTTTTTCTTTTTTTTTTTTTTTTTTTTTTTTTTGCATAAATAGTAAAATTATAAATTTTTGGCTTGATAATTTTCATAATCTATATAAAAGTACATGGTTTTAAATGAAGGAACAATAGTTTTGTTTACTTTTTGTGGGTGCCATCCTTTACTTTCTGTTTCTACATTATTTCCTTATTTATGCAACTTCAGACTATAGTTATGTAATTTAGAATTTTTAAAATATAATCATGTTTTAAAAAAATGACTAATTTTTAAAATACCTTACAGAAACCATAAACTAATAACTTATATATTAACTTGAAATATTATTTCTATTATTTCTTAAAGGTTGAACTTTAATGTTTTAATGAATAAATTTTCATTTTCAGGTTAATGATGAACAGAACTGGGATGAGTTTCTTGAGGAATTCTATGTTCCAAAAGGATGTACAAATGGTATTCAAGCTCTCAAACAGATATACATTAGGTATGCATTTTGTTCTGCCAAAAGTTTATTTCAGCATCGGATTAATTGTTAAATTAATTTTTTCTTTTTTTTTTTTAAAGTTTTTTTTTAATGATGTTTTTAATTAAAAATATATCTTAAAAGAATATTTATTTTAATTTGATTTTTTTTTTTTTTAAGTTATTTTATTATGGCATATTTAATACAGACTATTGCTTTCCTTTGAAGGTTGTTAAATTTAAATTTGCCACTGTCTTTTTAAAATTTACTAAGTATAAAATAGATTCACATTTTAATTTAAAATTAACCATAAATAATGGAGATGTTTACCATACTCATGTTCTATGCTTATACACGAATTTTTAAAATGTTGATTTAGCAGATAATGATGAAGATTAATATATTGCATGTATTTAAATTGCTAAACATACATTTTTCTCTAGACATTTGATTTTTATCAAAATATCTTTTAATATCACTGAACTTATTGTAATTGCATGTCATTCTTTTTGTAAATTATTGTTCTATACTATTACCAAAATAGATAATTACACTTTGTTGTACATTTGGCTGATTGTAGTTTGCTGATGTATTTAGTTGGACATTGGAGAGAATTTTAGCCTTTTGCTTTTCACACAAAATTATCTTTGTATATCAGTTTGTGATGCATATAGAAACAGTGAAAGAGCTCTAAAAAGAATGCTTTGATTTCTCATCTTTTTTCTTTTTTATTCCCCCACCTTATGAATAAGTGATAATAAAAGTAAAGAAGTGAGTTGTTCAGATACGGCAATAATTCAGATCAAACGTCTGTTTTGTGTGCTTTTCCTGTTAAGTTTAATTTAAAGACCATTGGCCATTCATTTATGCTTTCTTTCTAAAGGATTTTATGAAAAACTCAAATTATTTATTTGCTTGTGTTGTTTCAAGTATATTTATATAATTGCAGATATTGTTATTTGATAAAAGTCTTGCTTATTAAAAGAAGTTTACAACTTCTGTAATTAATTTACTTGATTCTGAAATATAATAGACCCATATAGAATGGTTATGTTGCCAAATATCATTCAACTCTAGAAACAATTAGCTAAATATTTGCATTAGAATAAAATATTATGGTCAGAATATAACTATATGCAAGTAAATATTTATTTGCAACATTTTATCAAATTCCCAAGACTACTCTAAATAAAGATTACCAATACGTGCATTCATTGTAAGCTGCAAATGTAAACATAGCCTCTGAAAGCATATAAACATTATTCAGCTCTTTCTTTTGCATAATACAATGCTTTGTGCATTTGTCTATATTCTTCTGAAATTGTGGTTCTTTTTAATAACCATTCTAACAAATCATTATGAAAGAAGACTTTTTTTTTTCTTTTTTTTTTTTTAAGTTTGATGTAAATAAAATAGTTGTAAGGTTTTCTGGAAAATCTTATTCACCCAATAACTATTTCTTAGTTTTTGAGTTTCAATACACCATTACTAACCAGGTTTTTCATTTAATTTTTTTTTCTGTCAAGCAATTATTTGTAATAGATCTGAGTTTTATAAGATTCTAAATGAAATTTTACTTTGAAATAATTGTGATAAAAAGAATTTCTTACATTGAATAAAAGAAAAATAAGCATAGACTAATGTTAACATTGCTTTTTGATAATAAATAGAATATTATTAATACAAAATAATGCATTGCATTTTAGTAGTTTGTTTCAATTAGGCATTTTGCTTTACAAAAAAATAAATTGCTATGAAATTCTTGTGAAATTCATTAATTTTGATTAAATGTATTATCAAAAATATTTTATTTTTCATTGAGGTAATCTAATTATTGCTAAAAACATCATTACTATTGTTTTGATAGTGCAATATTCATAGGTTTTATATCTAGATTTTTAAAATTTGATTCTTTTTCACATTTAATTCATAATAAAATTAAATTTCATACAATGTATTTCATATATGTATTTTACAAGGCATTTCTTTTAATGCATGTGTATTTGTGAAAGTTATGAATTTCTGCATCACACCAATAAATTGACTCTTGAATTACCTTAGTTTATTTTTTATTAGATTCATGTACAGATGTCTTGGAATGGTTACAGAGGAATTTTCATTCATAACTTGATATGAATAATAATAATCATTTAGAAATTTATCAGTTATTGCCTTTTGTAATAATACTACTAAAAGTAAAATAATTTAAAAAAAAAAATTTCCATGATTGAATCTAAATAGAAAAAATAAATCCTGTTACCAAAGATATGAGAAATAATTTTTTTTTTTTTTTACCTTTTATTGATGAAAAAATAATAAATTTTTTTAAGTTCTGGAATATAATTAAATTTTAAATCATTTGGTGCTAATTATTGTTTTTTCTTCTGTGAAATAGGAATGTTAGATAAAATTTTGAGATTTAAACTAAAGTAATTTTACATAGTGTAATCATCTTTTAGTATCTTTTTTCTATTTTTTATTTTATTTTTATTTTTTTATTAGGTTTCTTAATGAATATGAGAAAGTTAATTTCCTTGGAGAAGATCCAGACCATGAAATTATGGATGATGATGAAGATGGTCCATCTCGCAAAAAGTCTTCCACTCCTCTACACAGTGTTCCACTTACTTACAAATACAGCCAGCATAAAGTCTCAGGTGTGTATTCTTGAATTATTCTGAAGTGATAAAAAGTACCATCATTGTTTGCATTACTTGGCTTATTTTGTTTTTCATTGTCCATACTTATTTTAGTGGCATTTGTACTTAGGAGTTAGTTTCTTTTCAACTGAGAAAATGCTTACTATTAATTCCTCTCTCTCTCTCTCTCTCTCTCTCTCTCTCTCTCCTCTTATATTTTTTAGTTGTTTTCTTGCATAATAAGTATTTATTAAATACATTTATTAACAATGACTGAAATTAGTTTCATTTGGAAATATTCACAATCCTTAAAATCCAGATCAGGGCACCTCAACATGGTATAATGGATAGCAAGTTTGTCTCATTAGAACAGTTACAGTTGAATACTGAATTCGATCCTCACTGGGTGCCTCATACTTTCGACCTTATGCCACATCTAGAAAATTACAAAATCCAGATGGATATTATTTATGCATGAATAAGACTACTAGAATTGCCAGATTCTTTCTTTGAAGCAAATGCTACTTGTTTTATAACTACTTCACAGACTTTAATTTGATTGAGCTTAATCAACTCTGATAAAAGCCACATTCTACTCATCTGGATTGGACTGTTTTAAATGGCTTGAATCCAATATATTTCTTCTTACACAATTATGAACCCATATTCTGTCACAATCAGAATAGGAAAGAAGAAGAAAAAGGAAAAATTCTGACATGATAAAGATAATTAATGATAATAGATTTAGGAAGATTTTATTTGTATTAAAATTTTCATTTGAAGTAGATCTGTGTTCTCAAAAAGATTTTTTTTTTTTTTTTTTTTTTTTTTTTTCCACAAGATTCCTTGTCCATAATCTTCAGCCATTATAGTAATCACTATGAAGTAGCAGCCCACAATTTGGGGACTTCTCTTTCTTGAATGTCACCTTAGGCTGCTAAAGCCTCAATGATTAAGAAGCACACAAATTTAGTCATTTTGTCATGCTTCCTCTGCACAATCTTCGTTTTATTACCTAATAAGAATTTTTTAAAAATTGGTAATATAAAGCCATTTTAACTTGTAATATTTTTTTTAATGTCTGACCTTTGGGAGATTATACACTTGTACCTCATCTCAAATACATTTTTGCTATAGTCAGTGGTAGCAACTTTTCTTGCAGTCTTTTAATGTGTCTCTGTTGTGAAAGCCTTGATATAAGGGTATCATAATAATAGTAGTTATGATTAATCTAATCACAGTATCTGACAGGGCCGAACAATTCTAAGTTTCTGATTTAATTTTAGACTTGATTAAAAATTATTTGATGATGAATTTGTAAAAATTCCTACTGTCAAATAAAATTAAATTGTTACAAGGTAATTACTAATTTCTTTGCATATACTTTATCTGTTTAGCAAATGTTTGTTCTTTATAAAATCTATTTAAATGCAAATTATTTATTTTTTTAATACTTTTCAACATTTATAAAGTGGTAACTGAATATATGAAGATAATATGCCAGGAGTCGTTTTTTCTTAATAATTTCTTTTTATCAGAAAAGTATTGTATTTGATGTAACATAAAACTCTCTTCTACTCCCAGCAATTTCAACATGGGATATTAAGAAAAAATAAAAACTGTTACATGATACATTGAATACTACTGGAACTTCATCCATGTCCCTTATTTGGCCCAGTTCAAAACAATTTTATTTTTACTACAATTATTACAAATTCATAAAACTACCATATTTGTTGGCATGTTTGAGGTGATACTGAAGGGTCTTGGTTTTACTCTATTCTGAAAATCATTTCAATAACCAAACTTCAGAATATTGGTTATGGGAAATCAGTTGGGTTTTGAACTTTTCTGTCATATATGCCATCAAATATTTTTTTTTTTTTTTGTATTTGTGAAAACATACAGTTGTATTTATTGTTAATAATTTATCCTTAAGTTAGAACCTTATTTGGATATAAAACTGGCAAAAAAAAAAACTTGTTTAAAATTGATTAAATCAGATTTTAGCTCCAGATTTGATTATATTCATTTAGTTTTGCAAAAATGCGAAATTTGAATTACATTGTAATGCTTCATATGAAAAACTGAACACCTTTTCTTGATGGTATTTTTCATTTTACATTTCTGAGGATTTTTAAGTTATTCTCTCCAAGAAATGTTACCTTCATTATTGTTCTAGTTTAAATAGTGTGAGAAGAAAACTTAATGCACTGGAAGTTGTGATATTTATGCTAATATTATGCTTAAGGTAACTTTTGTGAAGCATATTTTCATAAAATTAATGTGAGTGTACAAATTAAATATTTAAACATTGATTTGTGTATAACTGTTTATTTTGACATGAGACAGGAATTTATTTATCATAAAAAAAAAAATAAAAGTAATATTAAAAAACTGAATTTAGACATTCTGCTCCTTTTTAATGTTCTGAAATCTACCTTTGAAATAAGTATACAAGAATTGAAATTTTTAAATAGAATTTGAGAAATAATGGTTGAAAAATTTTAAAAAATCAGAAATTTTAAAAGATTTTTTTTTATTTTAAAACCCATCCACTTTCTTAATATAAGTATTGCAAATATTTACGCATGAAATTGGTTCTAATTCTAAAATTCTTAGTATTAGAAAAATTATATCAGTTAAATTATTGTCTACAAGTAGATTAAGGTGCTCATGTAAATAATACTATTATTGCTCACCATCAGGTTTTATTAGTGATGGCTGCTGCTGTTGCCACACATCAGCCATGACTATTCTGGCCTTTCTCCAGAATTAGGTGATCAGGTTAATCAGTGACCTCCATATTGTCATGTGGTCTCATTCCTATTTCACGGCTACTACACTGTCTGAACTGAAACATTCTTTCTCTCAACTTTCTCAGCTTCCTTCCTGTATAAAATTACCCATCACAAAAAAAACAAAAAACTCTTTTCTTATGACAGAATACATCTCAAGATAAAATATGTCACATTTTTGAGCCATTTTACAAGAGAAAAAATCCTTTTGCTCATGGAAAGGAATAGTAATTTTTTTTTTATTATTTTAATTATGTTTTTAACTATTAAATTTAATTTGCTGAAAATATTTAATAAATTTAGTTTTGAATGACTTTTTTTCCAAAAACATTCATTGTATCTTTTCTTTTCCAGATAATATTCGACAAAGTTCTGGTCTGTCCTGCCAGTTTGTCACATTCAGTGATTATGAGAAGTTGGAAATGGCTTTACTATCTGGATTACCTAATGAGGTGGACTTTGTTGTCAATGTGTGTACATTACTTTCTAATGATGGCAAAAGGTCTTTACGTTTGGATAAATCAAAACATTTATTGGATCTCCTCCTGGCACATATAGGGATTTTCAATAATGGTAAGCACTAATTTTAATTTGATAAAACCTATCGTATCTCTTAGTTTCTGTGTGTGTGTGTGTGTGTGTGTGCACGCATGACAGTCAAGGAAGACGGGACTCTCCAGCCAAGTTTGGCAACCAGTCTAAGAGGAGAATTTAAACCATTTCTCTGTAGCAGTTCTTCAAAAAATGTAACTGGATCTACACAAGCCTGCATTGTGTAGTGTAGTAGTGCAGGTGCAGTTCTTTAAAAAAAAGGAGGGGGATGAACTGTTAGGCCCTGATATATTGAAAGCTTGATGGTCACACCCACTGTGTGTTTGTGTGCATGTTTCATACAAAACATTTTTTGGAAAGAGCTAAAAAGAAAAAAACAAAAAAATAAAACAAGAATTTTTATTTTATTTTTTGTAGTGATAATTTTTGCTAACCTGTTCAAGCCTTTGTGTTGTTGAATGATCACAAATATTTTTTCAATTTTACTTTGATTCCGTATGAAATAAAATCTTTAATTTTTATGAGTGACTTAAATAAATAATGACCATATTAATCCCTGCTCTCATTTTGTTTGAGTCATTCATTGTTGCTCAGTTTGATGGCTGTTCAAGCCAAATTTAACCAGCGGTAAAAAATGTATCCTGTTTGTTTAAGTGGTTGCAAGTCCTAACATGTTATATTAAAAAAACATGTCTGCAATTTTCAATGCAAGTGTTAAACTTTATTTTGCCAGTATCACATCACTTCAGTAGATTCATTTCTTGGCTTCCTTCATGAGCACCTCACCCCGCTAGCAAACAAAAGAAATATTGGCAAATAAAATATACTGCTCAATGTTAATAACAAAAGGAATGAGTTTAGTGCTTCAAACATCTCTTGGAATGATGTGTTCTGTAATTGAGATAAGTTATTTGTCTAAGGTTTGTTACAATCAGAAATCTCAATTTCATTAATGGATAGACAGTTATTTGAATTGGGTAAAGAAGTAATCAAAGCTAGTGTTCATACATTTTGTAGGCAGAAAAAAGTGTGATGTTAGCTGATGACCCACAGCAATGCACATGGGGGTTAGCACCATACCAGAATTCTTTTAGCTAAGCTTTACATTCTTCTATTGATTTTTACTTTGTGAACCATTTTTGATCTCAAGGTAGGAAATAGGAAAAGCAAAGTCTGATGTTTTATATATAATACCAAAACCATTTTCTTTTTTTATTTTTATATATATTATTATTATATATATATATATATATATATATATATATATATATATATATACACACACACACACCTTTGAAAACAAACCTTTTTAGCTGAAATGATAGAACAAGCTCTTAATATCAGAATGAACAACAGAAAGCAGAAGTCATGTACTTAATTTGGCTTGTTGCTGAATAGTCTACAGATTTTGACTTGTCATCTTTTCACCTTTTAAAAATATGACTTTTTATGATCATTGTTGAGACTGACTTAATAATATCAATCTTCATCTTAGGAACAAATGTCAAAAAATAATTACTTTATTTAGCAAAAAATGGTCATTTTTCTCTCAAAGGTAGTATACACTATTATTAGTTGCATGTACATAGTATTTATTGATTTATGAATTGTAAATGGTCTCTATAGTAATTCTTTTTTCTTGTTTATTCTCAGAATCAAATATGGAATACAATATTAAACCTGACACCATTGAGCCCAAATATTTAATCATTTTTATAAAAGTATTATTGCGAACTGACAAATGTTTAATGCTTTTAGTTGGCTGAAATGTTTGTTCAGTTCAGGAAAAATAAATAGTTTTTTTTTTTTTTTTTTTCTCAACATTAACTTCATTAAACAATATATTTACCATTTTGTTCCATCTTCTGCCATGTCCATAACTTCATAATTCAATCTACTGGGAACATTTTATCTTTCTCTGCAAAGAACTGTTCTTGTTGCCTCTTGATGTATTCCAGGGAATTTAAATTCTTTTTTTTTTTATATGCCATGTCCCCTCAGGATGTAGACGATCATGGCTCTCCACAACTTCCTGTCCTTTGTAGCTTAATAAATTTTGTATTTTTTTAAAAGAATTCTTTAATAAATGGTAATCTGAATTTGCAATCTGTAGTGAATATAACTAATAAATAAAAACCTACCCAACTATAACCTTTTTTCCTGGTCATCAAATATCTAGCATTATCCTGATAAAATGTTATGTTTTTTTCTATTAACTTATTCCATAATTCTGAATATGTTTTGTCAGCTGCTGCCTTTAATTAGTCTAATTGAGAGTAGTACTTGTTAGAATCCATCAATTGCTTTTCCAGAAGCAACTCACATGAGAGAACTTTAATCATACCAAAGGCCAATCTAGTGTTCAGCATTACTTTATTGGATGAAGACTGGCCTTTGGTATGATTAGTGTTGGTTTCTTTTTCTTTTCTTTTTTTTTCATTGTCCTATTTTTATATTGCATTCCACATTGTTGTAGCATATCCACTTTTCATCTGTCACAATTTGTTTGAAAGAAGAAAAAAAAAAAAAAAAAAAGGAACATTTTCATTAAATATTAAGTAGCAAACTCCACACAAAATATAGCCCCAGTAAATCCTCTTCCCCTTTCATGGAAGATGAATATCAAAGTGATGAATGCATATAATCAAGCTGTTCTAAATGATTTCAAAACTTGATTTCTGTATTTTGAGAATGTTACCTCTTTCGCATGTTGTATAATATTGATTATTCTTGAGTAATGTTTTCATTTGATTGTTATCTGCTTCAGCTGGTCTGATTTTTGAGAATTTAGGGAGCAAGAAATCTCTGGCCTGAAACTTTGCCAAATAACTTTTACTCATTCACAGTACCTTCTCCACAAACTGCACAGATTTTTAGCATTTCATTTGCATTTTTATTTTCATTAAAATAAAAAGCAAAATAAACTGAAAATAGTTCTTATTTTCAGCCATCTTCATTGTTACAAACAATAAGTGAAATAGAATTTTGACAATTTAAAAAAAAATGTCCAGTAGTTGTTACAATATAATCAAAAGCAATTTTTCTTTTTCTTTTTAATAAAGTTGGTTAAAACTAACTATTCCTAATACAATCTAATGCCAAAAACAAATCTTTTTGCAAATCCATTGAGAGTAAGCAAATTAAAAATCAGTTTGAAATGAGACCATTGCACTAATGTAAAAATGTTTCATTCTCTTTTTTTTTTTTTCTTTTTTTATTATTTTATTTGATATATTGAAAAACTTACTTAAATAGATTAAAGTAGGCTCTTGTTTAAAGATTGATATAATTATTACCATTGTTTAAAATTGAAGTTTAAAATCAATATGGCAAAATATATGCATTATTATCAATGTAGCATTTAATGAAGAGTCAGTGATTTGGTTCACAATCAAAGTGTGTATAAATTTTCCATAATTTTGCAAATAAAACTTTAATTTTTTTTCAATCTCTCCAAATTAATGAAATGTGGCAATTAGATTAAGTATGTAAAAGGGAGGAGACATGTTTTTGATGCAAATAAGTGTTGTCCAAAATTGGAGAGTTTGGCCTACAAGTTATTTTTTTTTTTTATCTCTGACTGTTGGTAATTGACAACAATAATTAATCAAGGAGTGCCTTTTTCTGCCTGTATTGGGATTTTATCCATAACCTTATTATATAACTCTGAAGGGAATTGGCAATTGAACTACAAGAAAATACTTGAAGATAAATGTTAGCATTCATTCAGCTCATGATCATGAGTTATTTATGCTTAGTTTAAAATTATATTTCCCGAATTCATTTTAATAATAATACTTTTTCTTATATAACACACACACACACACACACACACACACACACACACACACACACACACACACACACACACACACACATTTGTAAAATATTCTGTAAGATATTTTGATATAACTTAGAATAGTTATATCATACATAGATGCAAAATTCATGGATAATTTCTGTAGTCATATATCTACTAGATTTGTAGTGCTATTTTTATTTAGAGACTCCAAAAATGGCAATTGTTTCTAATGATATCGCAGTAAAATTTAAACAAAAAGGCGTATTAGCTGATGCAGTATCATTTTAAATAACCAACAGGTTTTGTAAATTATTTTTTGTCTAGGTTATATTTCAGACTTAACCATTTTTTATTTGAAAATAATATTGTTTTAATTTTTTTGTATGACTGCTTTCAGCTGGTAAAATGCTTTGTAAACAAAGAACTAGTTAACTTTTAAAGGTAATGGCTATACAAATAAAAAATCATTGTAAAGGAATTAAAAAAAAAATTATGAAAAAATTATTACATATCTATTCACTATTCATTTAGCAAATTAACAAGCAGAAGTTATTTCATTAGTTTCTATATCAAAATTGTTTTAGTAAAATCTATATTGAGCTTAAATACTTGAATGTATTATCACTTTAATTGAATTATAACTGTAGTTTTATAATTGTAATTGGTGTAACTAACAGCATAGAATTAGAATAAAATGTCTCTTATTTTTCCTTCTATATTTTAGGAAAATTCTTACATTTGCTTTTTGTAAATGTTGATAATATAGCATTCGTACATTTCACTTAAATTGGATTCATATATTTGTTTTTTTTTTTTTTTTATGCACCCTTCAGAAAAGATTCTTATTTATTTTGAGATATTTTAGAACATTGAGAATCTTGTATTGTGTAAATTTGTTGCTCCTATAAAGCTTTATTTACAGTTTTGTCTCATGAATAATTATTTGCAGTTCCTTAAATATAGTTTTTTTGAGTCATAAGCCACGATTGCCAATTTTTTATTTAAAATGCTTTCTCACACATTTCTAGGAAGCTTAAGTCAAAATTTTACCACTGTGCACATCTAAACAGTACTTGAAAAATGACTATAACAATTTCTATTAGTTGTTTCTTGTATTTTGATAGTTTCTATCAATATTCACAAGGAATATAACTCCATTGAAGTAAATTCAATGGAAAAAAACTAAAAATTCAAATGCTACTTGTTTTCATAGCAATCT